TATATATATATATATATATATATATATATATATATATATATGAAGGATATGCATATATACGAAGAAAATATATCAAATTACTTATTATATTATTCAAGTTAAATACTTGAAATAAAATATAAAATGATGTTTGTAAAATAAAAATAATAAAATATATATCTAAAATAATGCATTATGTTTCAAATGATTATTTATTAGTTATCTTAAATAAATAAACTATTTAAAATAAGATAATAAATAGATAATAAATAAATAATAAATAGATAATAAATAATCAATCCTATATACAATTATAAAACAATATTTTTTAATTAAATTTAAGTAAATACAAAATCTCAAAAATATTGAACTTTTTTATGAAAGAACCTTATATTCTTATATTTTATATTTAAAGCATAAACTTTCATAAATTATCGTACCTTTGGCATAATAATATAACAATGGATTATAATAACAATGAAAATACTTTGGAATGAAATGTACCTTCAACGATGAATCATAATGCTCGAGGAGTTAGTTTACATTCACTTTATGTTTTTCTTGATAAAGATTCATCGATTCATCAACATACATATTTATTAAAATATGAAAACAGTAATAAGTTAATCAAAATTAATTCATTATATACATTGAATAATATCATAATTTTAAAGAAATAAAACAAAACTAACAATGCATAGAAATTCATAACTTTGTTTGAATCCCCTATATAATGACCTTGCCAACTATTTAACATAAAATTAAATCAAATTAATTGATTTGACAAAATTAAATCTTGCTTACAATTGCTTTTTCTTCTTTCGTCCTGCAGAGTTTCTTCACAATGCTTATTTTCATCACGATTCGTCGACGTTAATATTCTATCATAATAAACGTTTCTCGTGCATACGTTGCATACGTTTTCATCAGAGATAATCATAATTAAGAAAATTTGTATGGGAAATTAGGTTCTCGATTAAATTTTGAAAGTGATTGAATGAATAGTATGCCATTCGTACGAAATTAAAAGTACACGTAAGTACGTCATCACGGTAACATAATACTTGGATAAGTATACGAATGACGTTGTTACAAGGTTGTAAACAACAGTGAAACAGTGACTCTGGTGGAGAAAAGAAAGAAAAGTGCATGAGTGCATCTCTGGCCATAATAATCTCATATTGTGTCATCTGACAGTGGTTTATTTTCCTGTACATACATCTGGAAAATGTTCATCGATTGTATACCTTGGTTCAGTTGCTTCAAATGCGGTTCAACCTCCCCGGAAACTCCGAAGGTCTATGGGTTAAGTTTCAAGTGAGTGACTCATTTTTGAAAATTATTAAAGACAGAACAGAAAAATATTTATTTTACGATAATTTTAAAATTTTAATTATAATAATTGTTAATGCTTATGTTATATTAAGTTCAATGTTTTTATTTTCACGTTTGACGGTGATAATATACACGTATATAACAATTAATAGATATAATTATATCTTCGAAAAAAGTAATTTTTTTCGATTTATTGAAAAGTAATAAATATCCTATATTTTATATATTTTTATATAATTTAATTTAATTCTAATTTTTAATTTTTACATATTTGTTTGGAATTATTAATATTATTAATAATATAATATAATATAATATGAAATAATAAAAAATAATTTCAAAGAACGAAAAAAAATTAATGAACTGCTGTTTCGTTGAAAAGAAAAATATTTTTTGTTTTTATTATCTTTTATTTTCTTTTAATATAATAATTATTTTTTGTGAGAAAGAAAATAATGTTTCTTCATTCATTAGGAAATAATAAATATTAGATTCTATGAGATGTAATGTTTACATATTCGCTTATTAATAAGAAAATTTTTTGAAAAAAGAAAAAGATAGATAGATAGAGGTGTTGTTTCATTAGAAAAAAATGTTTTTCGCTTGCATTTGAAAAACTTCAAAGCATTATAACTTGATAAAATATAATAGAATAACGTTTATCACGTTCGACTGCAACTCGTTGATTTCATTTAAAAATTTAAAATTTACATTGACATTAACAGCTATGCAGTGATACCGTGAATAAACTAAAATAAATTTGCATGAATCATGTAGAGTCAATTTACAAAGTTTTCCGTTTATTTCATTTGAATACCACGGGTATCTTATATGAAAATTTTACGCAGTTCTCTCTTTCATAAAAATAGAAAAAATTGAAATAATGAAAATTAATTTTGCGTCTTGTATAACAAGAAAAGGAAAAAAAGAATTACATTTTAATTCAAGCATTCAAATGCTTTTTTCTGCATATTTTCTTTATAAAATTTATCCTTTCTAAATTAAAATTTATTTAAATTTATTCAAAATTATTCTTCTTTTTTTTTTTCGTTTTACTTTTTTAATACACTTTATCTCAGTTTATTAAAAAAAAAATCGATTGTTTCCAAAAGCAGAAAATTGAAAAATGTGTCAATTTACCAAATTATATCGAAATGTATTACAATCAACGTAACTAATAATTCATTTTATTTTCTCTTTGTATAAATAATGTAATTAAAATGTAGTATATTTCAATCTATAATCGATAATCGTTTCAATCATAATATTTGCGAGAAATCTATATATAACAGCAGATTTATCTTTTTTTCCTCCTTCTTTTTATTGTTGAATTAAACCTGTTCAACATTTTAATCAACCTTTTGAAGAAATAAAAATTTATTTATCATTCGATTAAAACACGCTAAGATCAAAGATATATTGCTCATGGAATTTTGGATCGTTAACATTTTTATCTGTGCAAAACTTAATTTAGATTTACAGCTTTCTATTTATTTATACAATTTCTAGATACGTACTAACATCAGATATATTTTCACAACAATTTCTTTTTATTCATAATACGAGTACAAGATTTTCTTAATTTTATAGAATCTGATTGGTTCTTACCTATATATATATATATATATTCATATTTATATTAACAAAAAATGAATGGTGGATTGCATGTTTAAAACCTTTCCATATTGTCCTTTTCGCCATCGGATTGAGTGAATATACAATTTATAATCGATTATCGATTATCGTTCGGTTATAATGCTCGTTTTTCACGCCACTATGTCGTTTAATAGAGTGACATTAAAAATACATAACAAAAACAAAAATTAAATATATAATAAACGAGATAATAACGAAATAAAATAATAGAAAACGAACATTGTAATTGACCGATCGATAATTGACCGATATTCATTTTTTGATCGAACGATCAAAACAATGTGAAAACGATGTTTATTGATACGTTGTTAAAAACACATAATTGTGGATAAAATTCTAATATATATAATAGCAATTTTTTTTTTTTTAAAAATACTTTTTCTTCCAACATTAGATTTCTGTTCTTTTCATTTGTTTCAGTTGATAAAATAAAGATAAAGTTTATCTTGTTTTTATCATATATTCTATATATATGTATATATTCTTACTTTCTATTACTATTCTAGAAACTCAAAATTTTATATTTTTTGTTTTGAACCATGATCGAAGGTATGAAAATATTTTTGACAAAATTAATATTGAAATAGATATGTAATTACATATATCTACTTATTTTCATTATTTTAATTACAATCATTTATAAAACGTAAAATGGATAATTAGATACAGATTTGTTCTAGTGTTAAGATCATTTTTAAAGATTTAGAGATCTTTAAAGATATTTATATGTAGTGCATACACTTATCATAACCGAACCTGGCTCGTGAGTTATTTTATCTTCCTTATTTTCAGAATGATATAACGATGAAAAGTCTCGTTCAAATTTATGACAGGATGTTCGTTGTGATAGTTATCTCGTGTGACCAGTATAATATGTCGATAGAACAGCGTTTGAAGTTTGCTTTATTCTCCTTGCCTCGAGAATTATGCACGCTCGAATTTATAACTGGAATTATGTAAAACGTATGATAATTTGGTGGGAAGCTTGTCGTGTTTGTTGAAACTTTCTCGCGATAAAATTAGGATAAAGTTTCTTGTCTTTTGCTCGAAAATTTATCGAAATGCTTCTTGATCGGAATGTGATAGGACGAAACGAATGTCTGTAAACAATAAAAGTCAATTTTGTAAATGTAATTTTTGCAAATGCAATGTTGCGAATTAATAAAAAAAATGATGTTATGTATAATATATTTATTTATTGATAAAAATATATATTTGTTTATTAAATAAATTATAGGTTCCATCAAATTCAAAGTATGATTAAGGAGAACATTGATAAATATTTATCAAAGAGATAAATCCTTTAAACTCGATTATTTTTTTAAAATAATTTTTAATATTTTCAGTCAAAGCCATCACTGAATAGTGAGGATAAATTTACTTGGTTTTTTATTAATAAATATTCTTAATAAAAACGTTATTAATTTAATCTAATTTAACTCAAATCCGACATAGATCATAAATTAAATAAACTTTTGTTTAGCATCAATTAATTTATATTAATTCTAGTTTAAATTTCATCTCAAATCAAAATTAAATAAAAATTCATTTAACTGTTGGTCAATTTAATACTTTATATTAGATTTGGATTAATTTTCAATTGTCTATTGCAACAATAAATCTGATTAAAACTAACTTAATCTAATTTAACCTAAATTGTTTCGGAGAAACGTTTTTGTTGATAAATTTTTTTAACAATCATCGCCAAGTAAAATTTTCCCAATAGTGGTATTAAAGTGGTATTTTGAAAAATAATTAAGATTAGATAAGAAGATCATATTTTTTTTGTAAATAATTACTTTAATTATGTTATTATCACTTGTAATGATAGTAGGTATTTTTATTTAGATAAGAGATATTTTTTTTTTTCAAAAAAATTTGAATTCTTTCTAGCGGACTAAAAATTTTAATTTTTTTTAAAAGAAAATAATAAGATTTATTTCTTAAAGTTATATGAAAATAGATTTTTATTGAAAAGCATTTCAAGCATTTCATACTAAATTACAGATTTTTATAAATGTTTTAGAATTTTTCATATTTATTTAAGGATCAAACAAATATTTTATTGTACATCTCTCATTTTATCCTTTTGTATGATGTTCCTATTTTATGATTGATTCTATTTCTCCACAATGGAATATAGAACATAGATTTATTTTGACGATGTATTGCGCGCACTTATACATCATCGTTACGAGTTAAAAGTTTAATAACAATCGATTTCCCATATTTTTTTCTCATACAAGTTGTATTCTTATGATTCACGAAATATCATCACTGAATATTGACATGAGTAAATGATGTTTAAAATTGGTTGGTAGTCACGTGATTGTAAATTTGAAGAAGTTATTGGATTTAGAATTATAACTGTTATTAATGAAAATTTTTTTTTTCATAAAAATGAGAATTGACCCACGAACATAGTAGGTTATTTATTTCTGAATCTGATCTTTTATTGTTCTAGATTTTGAATAAATTTAAAAAAATTTAGTGTATATAATTTAGTATAATTTATGAAACGCTTGAAACTTTTTTCAACGAAATATAAAATTTTGTTTGAGAAAAATTTAATCAAAATTTTTTCCCCTTGAAAAACGAAAAATCTCAATCTTAAGATATTTTTTAAATAATATAGAAATAATAAAATATTATCTTTTGTAATAGAAGTGAATATTTTATACAAAATATTTTCTTGAAATAATAATATATAACAAAATATAAAAGATATAAACATTGTTCTAAATTATTCTCATAACAAAAAATTATGTCATGTAATTTTTAAATTAAATATAAGTATAAAAAGAATATTAGTATAATAAAAAATATGAATAAATTCTGAAATTTTATTTGAAAGTTGATATAATATAAAAAGTTTTATAATTTAGCATTATTACCAGCTACTACTCGTTTCATTTTCATTTATAAATATTTATTTTGATATTAATTTTATGTACGTTACATAGAAAAAATGAAGATCGATGTAAAACAATACATCATTTTTTTATCGAGATGTTTTTTATAGCTATAAATAATACTTTTTATAAATTATATATTTATTTATTCAACTTCATTATAATGATTTCACTTATAATCATTATCGAGTGAATATCATGTACTGATTATTATGATAATCAACTTTTTCTTCACATTCATACATGTAATTCACATATAACATATAAAACGAATAATGTTGATTTAAATTGAATATTTACATCTACTTATATTCGATAAAAATTATTTATTTTAATCTTTATCTTAAATTTTCTGAATATATAATAATTTTAACGAAATTTTCCTCTATAATATATTTTAACTTTTTACTTCTTTTTAGAAAGAAAAAATTTGAAATTAATATAATTAATTGTAATTAATCTGATCATAAATATTAATCTCAAAATTGCACATCTCTAAAGTAACGAAGTTTTATTCAATCATATGCTGTAACCTGGTTTTAGAAGGCTCATTCTCCTATCGGAAATTAACACGTATACATATTTAATCTTTGTTTGACACGTTTCGAAACGAATTAATTAAAACTATTTACCTAATCAACTTAGTGCAAAATATGAACGAAATAAACAGCCATATATAGAATTATTGCGATTAATAAGAATCTTCTATGCAGATATATAACGTGTCATTCGTTTCATAAGCCTCATCTATATATTACAAATATAGGGTGTCTCACGAATCTGGACTGAATTTAATGAAAAAAAGAAAAGCTTTCGAGCTTTGTTTTCGAATAAATCAAATTTAAAAATTTTTCGAGTGATTAATTTTCAATTGACTACGAATAATGGAAAAATGAAGACAAATAAATTTTGTTTATTTAAAAAATCGATTATATATTTTTCGTTTCGATTTTTTTAAAAATAAGAATTTAAACGATAAAATTTTTACTTTTTGCTTATTTTCACGCATAGCTTCCTATCGATATTTCATTTTCGTATCTAATTGGCAAATCAGGCCAATTTCATTCGTGTTCAAAAAATTTTCGAAATTTTATCTACTCAAAAAACGAACGAAAAAATTTTATCCTTTCATTTTGATTTATTATTATTGAATCAATTGTAGAATCAGTCCATTTAGTTGTCCATTAGAGTACTGTATACATATATGCACTGATTGAGGATCACCTATTTTTCAATTTCATGTTTATCTTATTGCCTCTCTCGTAAAGTTTTAAATGGAATAGCGTGACTGATGAATAGAATTTTCGAAATTTTTACTCTTATATGAATAAGAGAAATAAATGAGCTAAAAATTTGATTTTGATAAGGATAATTCAGATTGAAGAAATGAAATATTATTATTAAATGAATTGATATTCTGCGAAAATAAACTAAGACACGCAACTTATATAATTTATAGATAAATGTATCTTGATTTCGAAGAAATTATAAGAATGTTAAAGATCATTGAATATGCAAATATATAGCAAATTTTGAAAATTTTATTTATTATAATGTGATAATTTATTCATTACAACATATGTATAATAATGTAATATAACAATAACAAATAATGAATCTATTAATATATTATTTTCATTTAAAATCATTGAATTGTTCGATGATTGATTTGAATTGTTTTTTAATGAAATCATAGATATTTTTTAAAGAAATAATAATTTCAATATTATTTATTATTATTATACAATATTGATTTAATTAATGAAATTTATTAAAATAAAATTATTAAAAATCGAAAATTTGACACGTATTCTATAAATTATCAAAAATTTGATTTTACACATGAAATTTTGTACGAGTAATCAAATTTTGTCGTTCTTTAGGTAAATTTCTTTAGGTAAAGTTAAATTAAAAAATTTCAAAGTTTCAAAAGAGTTTCGAAAACTAATATATAAATATAATAATAAACGTGGGTGTGTGAAATTAGAATTGTTTTCATGCTTGTTCATAAAAGTTTTTTATTCCATGTAATTTAAAACTTTTTGAAAATTGTATAGATCGATATAAAATTTATAGGACAAAGAAGATTTTTTTAAATTGGTTGAAAGATTATAGTAATTATATCATTGAATAGATATTTTCCTTTTAATAAAATACGTAAAGTAAATAAGTTAAATATTCTATATTAAACTTATTATTTATTTAACTAACTACGAATATAGAATATAAAATATTGAAAAAAGTGATTCGTTTCTCAACCATATACGTATTTCTACGTGGTTCGTGATCAAAGGATTAACTCTTTGCAACTTTATAAATATTATCAACTTTAGTTAACAACAAACTTTTATTTTGTTGTAAAAAAAATATGAACTTATTAACACATTATATAGATTTTTTTTCCAATCGACATTTTTTATTTAAGTCCTCTTTTATGAAAAAATTAAAACATGAATATATTCAAATAAGAATTAATCACAGCTTATTCAAAACAATTGTATTCCATTTTTATCTTATTTTCGCACGTAAAATAATTCGATACTTAATTAAAAATTAACCAGTATATTTACATATACTTGTCAAATTTTCAAACTTCGTTTCCTTAAAAATGAAGTTTCGAAACGAATAAATAGAATTCATTCATATCTCTAATTTTTGCATTTTTGCACTCTTTTTTAATCTTTTCTCTACATAACCAACATACTTGACGCGTGTATCACGAAGCAAAGATTACCAAACATTTCGATTAAATATTTATAAATTTATATTTATTTAATTACATTAACACAACATTTTTAAAAGCTTTACATCACGTTAATAAATAAAATTATGCATATTTGGACACGATTTAAGTCAATCAAGTGGCTCGAGTTATCGATTATTCCGCGACCTATCCATTAAAAAATTGACCTTATATTGGGTCGTGGCCCACAAGTTGAAACACATCTCTCGTCGCAACATTCATTCATTCATTGATTGATCCAGGCTTTTATTTACCAGGAGACAAAAAGAATTTTTTTTTCTTCTCTCTCTCTCCTGACGATGACTTCGCGCCAGCAGGGTTGACTTTGTTCACAGAGAATCTGTTAACTGAAAGTCCGGCACAAAGACGACGAACCGTGTGCAAAAGTACTGCTGGGAATTTCTAAATGGGTCGCAGCTTTTCTGATTGAGCTTTCCTTCAACGGCCAGCGCACCGTTTGCTCACCTTTCATACCTTCTTTCACGCTCTCTCATTGTGATCACTCCGAGTGAAAATGATTTCTTAGCCGGGACCTTTGCAATACGAAGCCTTCCTTATCTCTTCTTCGTGCTGTCGTGGGAAAAGATATCGTTGCAGAAATGTAACAACTCCACTCGATTTAATCTTTTTTCCGCTTGTTCGTATCTTTTACTTCCAATAACGATTTCAAGCTTTTTATTTGATAGGTTTAAACAAGATGTATAGGTTGGGAATAATTACTTTCCCCTGTAATAATAAAATATATTTTCTCCTGTATTAAATTAATTGGTTCTTAATTGGAATATTATAATTTATAATGCAGTAAGAATATGTTATTTGGATTATAATTATAAAATATAGTAAAATATAGTATAACGCATCATATCGTTTAATTGTAATAAATAAATAAATAACATTCGCCATACTGTAATTGAAAAGTTATTAAATTTTAAATCTTAATTTTATCATCTTATCATCTTATCAATCGATAATTCCTCAAAATTACAGTATCACAATAGAAACGAGCAAGGAATATTGCAATCTTTTCATTAAAATTTAAAAGTGGCAACGAACCGTGTACATTTTAATTTCGAAGTGAATTAATTCCTGTGAAAGACAAGAAGGATCCATTAGAGTCGTTTCTTTGCGAATAATAGATGATTAGGATATCTCTTTTCCCTAGAAATCGAGTTAGAAGAGTTTTCTTCTATAATTTCCGGCTGGACACGTCATCCTTCCTGCGTTTGTCTTTCTCCCCTCCTCGTTTGATTTTTCTTTTTTTTTTTTTCACAGAATTAAATTTCTTTTAATAATAAGTAACTTTTACTTCTTTCTATCGCGTTTTCCTTCTCCTCTTTTTTCGTCATTTTACGAAACGAATTCTTCCTTGACCTCCTCCGTTCATAATGAAATTAATGCAGCTCTTTTCGCGATTCGTGGATACACCTTGCCCCGCGAAAGGTCAAGGGTCAAAATACCGAGAATTTTCGCTCTTATGTTAACGTTCGTTCGTACGGTAATATCATAATTGCGATGCTTTGCGAATTAATTAGCAGTTAATTGGAGAAAGTTATACCAAGAAGGTTTTTTAAATTAGATCTTGGAGGACGTATCGTCGTCCAATTCTTCGTGCATTCCTCAACATTAGGGAAGCAATTTTGTATATTCGTGTCGAATACTTTTTCTATTAATTTTTGTAGATTAAACTTTAGAAGCTAGTCTTTGGTTAAACTATTAGCTCAGACGATGCTGTTTCTTAAACCGATTGAATTGGAAAATTTAATTTCGTCGAAAATTCAATGTGTTTGTGCGCAAAATTTCTGGACAGAGATGTTGGAAAGGGTTGATAGATCATTTAGAAATAAGTGTATCCATTAAAGACGTGATATTTAAATCAAAATCTTTTATTAACAATTTTATCTTGATCCTTTTTTTGATCGATTTTATCATCGATTTTTTTCTATTAATAATTAATTATGATAAAATCAATCAATAAAAATGGAAAATGAAACAAACATCGTTTAATAACGTTTTCACAACAACAAGATGATTTTACACGATGCAATAATAAAATCAATAAAAATGTTAAATTGTCTCTGGACACAGGACACTCTTTGTATTCTTACAAATACACGATTCGACTATTTTTTCTTGTTAATAAATCAAAAAATTGTAAACACGAATGATACACAGTCAAAATAATTACGAATATTTTTCAAGTCAGAACTGCATTAATTTTGACCAAATTTTGACCAAATACATACAAGTTGCATGAATTCGTTTGATTCGACATACGAGAAAGCATATTTCGTTTACATTTCGTATAAAGTTACGTATTCCTTTTGAAAAAAACCAAAAATCTGAAAAATTATCTTAAAATTTATTATCCATGTATAGAGGATGTTCTAAAATGATATAGTTTAACTTGAAATTGAATTATAATACAAATCTTCTCTTATATCATATTTTCATATAATGTTGTTCAACTGCTAGTCTTTTAATGATGTGTTCGATTCTGAATATATTTTCATCTCTTCACAATTTTACTTTTTGAAATTAAATAGTATTTCTTAACGTCTCTCCATTAAATTGTAAAGAAAACATCAATTCTCATACAATGTTTCTACCACACTATTTTTGTTAACATTTCCATTATCCGCTTGATTTTTATCATTTCCAGATATTTTAAATATCTTAAGTCACGATTTCGATACAACGCGAAACTGGAACGATTATTTTTCACTTAACTCTTTCTTTAGAGTAAATGCGATATCATTTTTATCTTATCGTTATCTTATTGTTATTAGCTATATTTAGAGAATGAAATCAGTAAATATTCATTGATTCGATGATAGTTTAGTTCGTTTTACGATTCTTCTTTTTCTTTTTTTTTTTCTATAAATTTCACGCTATTTATTTTTCGAAATTATTCTATTTCCTCGTCTCTTAATTCGTTGTGGACTCGAAAGTCGTGGATTCGAAAGCCCGTTCGATCGAATAAAGCTTTCGAGAACCCGGAAACCTTTTATCCCAATGAGGGCGTACATTTTTTTTTTTTTTAGACGTTTATTGAATAACAAAGGAGAGAGAATGGTTGCCGGCCGTGTGAACGTTAATTCGAATGAATATTCACGAGGTGAAATGTAGAGTTGGGGAAGTCGAGGCATTCTGGGCTCGTTCGAATCCCACGTCGACCGTTATCGGTTAATGAAACTCCTTCTTCCTGCTGCTTTTTCGATATGGAGATTGCCAGAGGATTTTATTGCATGCACATGAATTCGAATCAATTTCTGGAATCAATGCGTGTACAATTGATACTCCACGAGCCCTTTTCAATAATAACATTGGTTTACAAATTCTTTTTTTAAACAATTCGTTCGACTCAATTTTAATCGTATCTCATCGTAATTATGTCGAGTTCAAATGTGTAACAGAGTTTTTAATTCTTAAATTCATAATTTGATAAATTACGTTTGTGTTCTACGATTTATTAGATGCATAAAGATGAATTGTTTTTTTTTTTTTTTATAAAAAGACTGCTTTTCAACGTTTTTAAAGAATTTGAATCGTATGAACATTTTAATAATTAATCATATACGATAGATTTATAATTTTATTATAAATTCACTGTAGAATGTGAGCTACGAATGAGCTATGAAATTATTATGATAAACGATTGAAGATAGGATGATATCAGTTACATACGTGTGATCGAAAAGAAATTCTAATATTTATTGGGCTGTAATTAAAATAAAACGAGAGAATAAAGGAGATAATTATTAATATGCATGCACATTAATAGTTAATAAAAAAAGTAAATTAATAAAACATAGTAATTGATAAAAATTATTATTAAATATCGTTTGAACTTTTACTAAAAATAGGAAAGATATTGCGAGTGGTCCTAATTTTTTGAATAGCTATGATCATTTTTGCCCACGAATCAACATTAACAGGAGTGAATTTTTATGTTTGAGATTATTTTTATTATTAATAATTATATATTATTTATTTAATGAAAAATCATGGGAATTTGCAGAAAACACAATTTTTTTTAATAACAACAGCTTTTATCGAATTTTTCAAAATCATTCTTCGTGGTTTTAAATTAATACTTGCATATCACACATATATTACTTTTATTCTTGTAATTGGAGTCACATCAAATATTATGCTCGTGTGTATCTCCAACAGTTTCTGTGACTGTTTATACGAATATTTTCTAGCCAATGTTATGTTATTTTTGTGAAAAGTATATCTGGCTTTTCCCTTAATAAACAATTTATTCTCGCAATTCATTATGATGATTAAAGACATTGAGAAAGAAAATTACTAATAATTGATTTATTATTATTTAATTATCGTGTTTTATAAATTTCTATATGATTCATATGATATGAGAGATTATTAGTATCGTTACAGAGAATAGCATTCATTTTTACTGAAATATGTTTAATCATTTTTAATTTTATTTTAAGTCGAATTAGATATCCTGGCAATATGTAAAAGATGTACTAAAAAAAATTTATTTACTATTTTTCTATAATTATAAATATTTTTCGTTGGTATAATTTTTTTTAACATTATAATCATTTTATAATCATTAATAATTTAATTTAATTGACGAGTCTTGTAAATAGATTTAAATTTTTAGATTTGAGATCATTTTTTCATTCCAGATATAATTTATAAAATAATGTAAAATTTCATTTGTATTATATTATTAATAATTGCAATAATTATACGATAATCATGTTATCTTGTGGAAATACACTGATATTTTTTTAGTTGAAATTACGTAATGATATTATCAATGTCATTAGTCAACATTAGTTATATATATATTTTTCCGTCTCATTATATTTTTTTCTTTTATTTTCCATCTTTTAAAATTCATATTGATGTTTTTCTTTTAACGATATATCCTTAAATTTTTGTTGCTTGATTTTTGTTGCTTCCATAGTATTTCATTTATCGCTAAGAGCGCTTATTAATTCAACGATGTCGTTTAAACTGCTGATCCTTCGTTTCTGAATCATGGCTGGAAATCAAAGAAGAAGCTAAAAGACTTCTTTTTTTTCATTTTTTTTTTTTTTAATATAAAAAGTTAAAATGTATTAGTATTATTATATTCATAGTAATTCGATCGAAAATGTAAATTTGGAAGTTATTTTTATTTATTTTGTAGTTTTTATTAACTTTTAAATTTTGATAATTTATTCCTTCTTTTTTTGTTGTTGTTGTATCTTGCAGAATAAATGAACGAGAATTTTTTAATGAGAGTGCGACAAATTATATTTTTCTTCATATGTGAAACACAATTATTATAATCTTTTGCTGAATCAGAAACGACGTTTCAGCATATTTTTCAGACATTCAAGGAGAAACTTTTATATGTATTTTTGTATAATGCGATATAGCGAGTGGTAAAAATGGATAAAAATAATGCATCATGTTAAACATTTATAATAGATTGTGATTTATTTAAACAAATTGCATTTATACTTGTATATATTTATTAAACGTTTCAACAAAAATTCAACAATATAACAATGCAAATTGTAAATTATTTAGATTTTTTTTTTATAAAAAAATAATAAAATGTATCGGGCTAATACTTATATACTCTACGATTTAAGAATATAAATATGATTTTTCACTTTTAATATTTATATTAAACCACATTATATGAAATTTTTTGATTTTTTTGAAAAACAAATTTTTTTCATTTCAAAGTTAACATCTAACATTTAACATTTATGCCAAATATGTTTTGTATAAATACAATTTATCTCAATAAATCACAATACAATTATTTTCTTTTTCATTACTCATATTTGAAAAATATATAAAAAAAGTAATATATAAAAATAAATAGATAATTAAATTAT